GGGGGGGGTGGGAGCACTATGCTCCCCCCCTCTCCCTCCCCCTACTAAATTGATTACTTTGTTGGAAGAGTCTAAAGGAGTAATTGTATTAGATTCTTTCAATACTTCAATTTAGATTGCTTATATTACAATTAGTTTCAAGAATTCAATTGTAAACAGTTTTATAGTGTGTTAAGGTACTTATAGAGTAACTTAGTTCTATGAAATGTCACTTTTGTAAAGAGTTTCCACAATATGAAGAAGAAAGAATTCACATTTTTTATATTAACCTAAACGATGTGATGTTCACAAGAGTGGTAATTCATATTGGTCAATATAACCATCAAGTGATGAGTGGGACATACTTAAAGTCTTTAGATGTGGGTACATTTGTTGTTTCAAAGGTAGCAAATTAATCTCTAAGAGCTTGACTTGCAATTATAACTACTAAAGTAGCAAATTAATTGATTCTTCAAAATTTTTTACAATCAATTTTAAACATTATGACACTTTCCCCTCAATAATTAAGCAAAGAACAAAATAGTCTTTTGGCACTTACCAACAAACAACAATAAGATCTAGTCAACTTGAAATATTATTTTGTACTTACTTTAAAATAGCTTTAATCTTAACTTCAACAATATTAATCTCAAGATATTACTTCAATGCCATCAACACCAAAACAAAGTTAAAAGAAAGAAAGAGCAAACCACAACTCAAATCTCTTTAACAACCTAGCTAATCAATATCAAAGATAATTTATTCAATATCCTCTTTACATGATGCAAATTGTGATAGAAATCTTTAGAAGGAAATCTTTTTTTTAGAATTCCTCAAGTTTTAATATAGTTTTAAAGCTCAAAAATGAGTTTAATTATTATATTAATAATTTTCTTTTATGTAGAGCACAATCCTAAATGATGATAGCTATTTATGAGATGAAAGGAGAAGATACACTAGCTCAAGTTTTTTTTTAGACACTAAATAAAACATACTAAATTGAAATAGAACCTTCACCAATGTTTTATGGTTTCATGAATGATGAAGCATAAATAAATTAGCAAGTTATTAAAACTGTCTACCGTGGTGGTTTAAACAAGGTTTTAGTTAATTGAAAGGTAAGCTACTTTTTCCATTGGGAGCAGAGTTTATATAAACATACAAAGAAATATTCAAGTTGAATATTGTGATAAGCATAAGTAATTGTGTTGAAGATTAAAAGTTGCAAACACTTTAGAAGAGTAGAAAAGAAATATAAATTCATATATAATTTATGGTGGGCTAAAGGTATGTTTATGAAAAAGTAATTCCAATATTATAGACTTGGTTGCTATAGTGGTTTACTCATTTTTCACATTGGGGGACTAGTTATTTCTTAGATAAGCAAGTATTAGTATTGATATTTTTATTAATTCTCTTTTTATTGTAGATGAGTTTGATTTTTTATTAATTATTTTTCTATTATAGATGAATTCTGAAATAGTTGCTACCCAAATTCCAACAACAAATCTTACTGAGAGTTATTATATGATGTGGCTAACAAAAATAAGTGGCTTTAAATGTATACCTTTATCTAAAGCTTGGTAGAACAACTTAGTCATGTCTATCCTACAATAAGCTTTTGTGCATATTTATATGAAAGGTTAAGTTATATGAAATGAACCAAATCTTGAGGATTTGGTGGCAAGTTTATTTGTTACAATATCAATATGATTTTTTAATTGGGAACCTTAAAACTGTTAAAAGGAAGCAATGAACAAGTGAGTCGATGCAGTTGATAGATTTGCAACATCCCAAGTACAATTATATTATTAAAAAATGAGGAGGATTAGTGCTTTTGAGAAACCAAGAGTTTAAGTGCTTCTAAATCCTTCGCAGCACTATGATCAGTTCATGTGGTTTTGTCCAACAGAAGTACTTCACATATAGTTTATTGTAGCATAGATTATCCAAAAACTAGAATGTGTATCACATATTTAGCTAGTTGAATGAGGGGTGAATTTGATGAATTTGGAATTTCAAACTTTAATTGAAGTAAACTTTAAATTTGAAGAGAACACTTTATAGTTATAATTACAAGCTCAACCTCAATATTATTCTTAAGAAGTTCTAAATAAGAAACAACAAATATATGAAGATTACAAATACTTGGTCAAAGGAAGCAAAAACAACATACTCAAAAGTATTATAGCTAAAGTGTAAGTTAAGAGTGTTAACATCAAACAATAATATCATCATCATGAATATATAGTTTTTGCTTATAGAAGTGATATTATAAACAGGATTATAATCAACTAATTCTCAAGTTGCACTTGCACATACTTCTTTCAATATTAGATTTCTGATAAATCTTTCATCCTTTGCAAATATATATATTTTATATATTGTATGCTTCTTGGGATGGATCCAAATGGTATTTCCCATAATAGGGATTTTATATAATAATAAAAATTTAATATAAATATACATTATAAATTAAAGGACACTTAATTATATAATTAGTATAAATACTTATTATTAAATATTAAAATAATAATTTCTTTTGTAAATGAGTCGATAAGGCAAAACCTCTATTAAGATTAGATGCTGGTAGTTTACACAGATCTGAATATTATTAAAATTATAAATTTTGTTTAAAATACTTATTTAATAAAAATCTATAATAATAATAAGAATGACCTTGGGCCGAGGTTAGTGGGAAATGTTGTGGCAGCCAATGGGCAAGATGCATGTGCGGCCGGGAAAGGAAAAGGGCATGGTGACAAATGTTACACCATGCACTCCTAGAACTCCATGGCTGCTCTGCATGGACGCAGTTGTGTGGGCATTCCTGTGAGAGTCTATGCATCTGTGAGCTCATAACAGGGGCAAGTAGAATGGTAATCAGGCACACAATCTAGGCTCCTTTCGGGATCAACTCACTTGCATATAGTGCATGAGCAACACCACAAGCAGGGCTAGTGATGGAGTGCATCAGAAATGAAGAGCTGGGCTATGCTCGAATCCTAGAGCTGACTGGCACCATGGCAGTGGGTGTGGGTGATGCAAGGTATGCGAGTGACCTGAAGGTGTGTATGACTTGAAGGCATCGAAAGAGTTCTTTGAGCTGTCAAAGGAGGGGAAGCTGAAGAAGCTGAAGTACACTGCCAGTGATCCTCTAGCATCCGCTTGAAGAGCCTGAGAGCTGAGGCTATGTCTCCCTGGTGGAAGTAGCCAGAGATGATCGCGTTCCAAGTCATGGCGTTGCGTCCCACGCTGGCTGCCGAGTTTGAAAACTTTGCGAGCTTCCGCCATGCAGCCGCACCGTCTGTAGAAGCCCAGCAAAGAATTCATGACGACCACCTCGGCTTCCATCTCGGCATGACGGATCTGCTGGTGGATGGCCCTTCTGGTCTCCAGAGCCGTGGAGCTCCTGCAGGCCCGGAATGCGGCAGCGTAAGTTGAAGCGTCAGGTACTAGGGACTTGCTGCATCCACGAGAAGAGATCCAGCGCAGCCAGTGCTTGCTCTGCCTGGACATATCCAAGCATCAGCATTGTCCATAAGACATCGTCGTGGCTCTCCATCCAGTCGAAGACTCTCCGCAGGTCCACCTCTTTGTAAACCACCCCTCGCGGGTAGCCCTCAACATGATTACCATCTGATTTCTGGTGTATACATCTCGATACTAATAGTTGCGAGTAAGAGAGGCAGGAGCTGATGCAAATCAAAGCGAGCACGAAAGGATGAAATGCCACAGTTTTGAGGGTAGCCTTGGGGTTCCACACGTTGAATGATTTGAGTGTTGTGACAATGAGCATTTGCTACTAAAAACTTAACAAAATATTCTTTAGTGTGCCAGAATATTCTTAAGATATTCTTGTCAATGGTAATGTTTGGCTCCTTGTTCACACCCCATATTTCACACTCCATCCTAGAGCACCTTTCACTCATGATAGAGTGGCTCCTCCTCAATGGGCTTGAACATTGTGGAGATCTAGGAGAACACCACCAACTTGATGTTTGGATCTTTGGCCCTCGTTTTTAGATATCAACACATTGATCTTCCTTTGTCATCATCTGTTACATTTTGGTGTTCTCTTTTTTCCCGATTTTCTCTTCGGCCAAAAATGTCGTAGCCTCCACACACAAGCGAGCATGGTAAGTCACTGCTACCTATAGATGCTACCTTTGTGTGTAAGTGTGCTCTTGTATGTCCTCCGCCTCCCTCTCCATGCCTTTCTCTTTCCTCTTGATTTAGAATAATCTACCCTTGAAGAAGCGGGCGACATTGCAGAAATGATTTAGGGTTGGAGGTGGTCTAAATTTATTGTCAACAAACCCACGGTTATGGGCGATTAAATAAACGCTAGAAACTGTATATACAAGTAATTCCGAACCAAAATGGAAAAGAAGGAAAAAAAAAAACCAGCGAACTAAGGAAAAGAGGAGAGAAAGACTTCCTACACCTAGCAGCAACCAAAAGAGCCACACACAAACACAAACCTCAAGGATGCGTGGAAGGACGGGAGCAGCAAAGACAGCGCAAGCACCAGTCTCGTTTGTTTCGCCAGTAGCTTCCTCGATTGGCCGGCGGCGGCATTCGAGCGGGGCTGGCGTTCCATTCGAATGGCAAACTGGTAAGAAAAACAGAGAAGAAAACATTGCGTTAGCTACGTAAGAACGAACACGGAAAAGAAAAACCACAACTTACATTGGGAATGCGAAGGAGCGCGTACTCGTACTGCTGCCGTCTGAGCGCCTTGAAATGCTCCCCCCGGAAATGGGACCCGAGTACCCAGACAGAGATATCGGCCCAGAGAATGGCAGCGGCGCTACGTCCGCGTCCTCGCCCTCGTCAAAATCTTGCGACGCTGGCCTCAAGATCCGGTCTTTACGTCGAGGGCTGAGAGTACCGATGAGATCCTCCTTGTAGTTGTGGTCGAGCTCGAGCTCGCCTCCTCCTGGTAATGGTGGTGGTGACAAAGTGGCAGAAGTAGTCGTCGCGTCCTCCTCCATTAATGAGCCTTGGACCGCTACCGCATTTCTTTTCTCCGGTGTTTGATCCTTTCCCTGTCCAAGAGTCGTCTCCTCGAATCCTTGACGTGATCCCGCGGATTCTTCCCTGAAGCTGGGAGTTGTGGAGCTTGAAACCACCTCCTCTCTTACTTCCCGGACCTCTGACGAATCTGGGAGATCATCGTCCTGGTTTCTCAGTTTTGGAGCGTCGCCATTCTCATGCTCTTCTTCTCCTAGCTCGCTTCCTCCTATGTTGCTTAAGTCCACCACCGCATTTGTTGTTGGCTGTTCCAACTCTTTTCCTTTGTCTTCTACACCGTCTAGCTCTTGCTCCCTGTCGTGACACCGAGACTCATCGTGAATTGCCCCCTTGTTGCTCGCCACCGTCTCGGATCTCTGCCTGTTCTGCAAATCTGAGTTTTGCAGCACCGATTCCAGCTTGCTGCTCGCGAAACCATTCTCCGTGTTGCCCAGGTTCTCCAGAAAGAGCTCCGGAGCGAGCCAGCTTCCCTGCTGCTCCTGATGCTGCTGCCTATCCATCCATGGCTTGCGATTCCTCTTTGGATCCTTTGTAGGAGATAAAACCATGGCTACCACAAAATTGACAGCCGTTCGATGCCGTCGCGGACGGGACAAATCCTGCTGTGTAAATTTTCCTGTTTAGCCGCCCCACCCCTGGATAATCTTGTTCGATCGGAAGAAGGAAATAATTTTTCCCCCAATTTCTCGAGAATGCTGGGGAGAGATCGCAGCTGCTCTCCTCGCGCCCGCGGCTAGAATGCTGTCGTACGTAAATGCGGAGCAATAAATGCTGCTGACCCCGGAAAAATCTTGAAGGAAAGAAAACTTACAGCAGATCGATCGCCACGGCCGAGCCATAGATCGCGAGTGGAGCAGCAGCGCGCCGATTGATCGAGGAGCAATCCCGCGGGGATTTGTGGCGGCCGAGCGGCGCCCTCGCCTCTCCCTCTGGCGCAAATTGACTTATCACAAGGAGTGAATCCCGCTTTGGCATTCTAGGGCGTATGGAAAGATTCCGTCGCATATGCCGCCATTTTAAAGCATATCGAGCATATTCAGCTAGTTCTGGGCCATGGATGCACGTGTGAGGCCGTACAGTCATTGACCTCGCGGCAGGTTCTGGGCCGTCGGATATCCAGCCCTCGCATTCCCCCTCAGAAATATCGTCGGCCGGCCCTTCTGATCTCGACCGTCCACCTCCCTGGGCGGAATGGCCATCAAATTGCGAATTCTGGAACCCCCGTTCCATGGTTTTTGCTCGCTCCTCTCCTGCGATGGCGATGGCGGCACCTGGATCCGTGTGTTCTTCTTCCTCCCTGCTGGATTTTGGAGCGCTGGATGATCCGTGCCACCGCCTGTGCAGCCAGTTCACGGGGACGAGGATCCGCTGTGGTGTTGCACCCCGGAGCGCAAGGCTTGCCGCGGCGCAGAGGAAAAGATTGGCCGCGGCCAGGGCGACGCTCCTCCAGCAGCAGCAGCAGATCATCCCGATGTCGCCGCAGGATGGAGGCAAGGATTTCGTCACGGACACGATGCCGGTGAGTGTTCTTCCGCCTTGCATGTCGAATGCGGTGTGATCTTTGCGTGGAATTTCGCTCTGTCGCATCATAGGTCGTGCCTGCGATCGACAAACCCGGAGGGATGTGGACGAAACCGAGCTTCCAGCGCAAGACGAAGATTGTTTGCACTATCGGGCCATCGACCAACACCCGTGAGATGATTTGGAAGCTCGCGGAGACTGGCATGAACGTAGCACGGCTCAACATGTCGCATGGAGACCATGCTTCTCACAAGAAGGTGATCGATCTCGTCAAGGAGTATAACGCGCAATCCGCTGATAATGTGATCGCTATCATGCTGGATACCAAGGTGGGAAGATCATGTTTTTATTTTCTGGTGTTCATGGTTTCTCTTTTTGCTTCTTTCCAGGGACCGGAAGTAAGGAGCGGAGATCTTCCTCAACCAATCAAGCTAGAAAAAGGAGATGAGTTCTCGTTCACGATCAAGCGTGGTGTTGGCACTGAGAAGTCCGTCAGTGTCAATTACGATGATTTTGTGAACGATGTCGAGGTTAATGACACTCTTCTTGTTGACGGTGGGTTTTATGCGAAGGTTTTTCTTGCAAGTGCTTATCATCCTGTTTATTTCTTCACCAGGAGGAATGATGGCCTTCCTTGTGAAATGGAAAACAAGTGATACCGTGGGCTGTGAGGTTCTCGATGGTGGCGAGCTCAACTCTCGACGTCACCTTAATGTCAGAGGGAAGAGTGCTACCCTTCCTTCAATAACGGAGAAGGATTGGGAGGACATCAAGTTTGGTGTGGAGAATGAGGTAGACTACTATGCTCTTTCTTTCGTTAAGGACGCGCAGGTAGTGCATGAACTGAAGTCGTATTTACAAAGTAAGCAAGCATAACCATTGTTCTTTTGTTTTCCATATTTCTTGGCCTGAAATTAATTGTCTGACAGAGTCCTCGGCGGATATTCATATTATTGTGAAGATCGAAAGTGCTGATTCGATACCAAATCTTCAATCCATTATCGATGCTAGTGACGGGGTAAGACTAAGGTTTACTTTACGCCGTTTCTGAGAATTATATCGCATTCTTTTGCGTATCCAGGCTATGGTTGCTAGAGGAGATCTTGGTGCCGAGCTTCCTATTGAAGACGTTCCCCTCCTTCAGGTTGGTTCTCGCTCTCTAGAAACTTAATGTGATTCAAGCTTCCGTTTTCCGCTTGGTTCGAGCAGGATGAGATTATTACCAAGTGCCGAGAGAAAGGCAAGCCAGTTATTGTGGCGACCAACATGTTAGAGAGCATGATAAACCATCCGACACCCACGCGGGCCGAGGTCTCGGACATTGCTATCGCTGTGCGGGAAGGTGCCGATGGGATAATGCTCTCGGGAGAAACGGCTCACGGAAAGTAATATCTCGTTCCTGCTGCCTTCTCGCTTGTCTGCTTTAAACTATTCTATTTTACAGGTATCCCCTCAAAGCAGTGAGAGTGATGCACACTGTGGCCTTGCGAACTGAGGCTACACTTTCCGAGGAGGATTCACCTTGCACTCTTGGACGTGCTTTTAAGGTTTCTTTCTTCTGTTTGCCATGTCCGTTTCGTAACAATTCCTTTTTCTTTGTTGTCAGAATCACATGAGCGAAATGTTTGCTTATCACGCAACGATGATGGCAAACACGCTGGGAACATCGATCCTGGTCTTCACGAGGAGCGGTTTCATGGCTGCCCTCTTGAGTCATTACCGTCCCGTGGGGACTGTCTTTGCCTTCACAAACGAGTAAGCTCATCCCTCTGGCTCTTTTCTACGTTGCTAACTCACAGCTCTTCTCTATTTCTCTTTTCCAGTAAGAAACTTCAAAGACGTCTGGCTTTGTACCATGGTGTAAGGCCAATCTTTATGGAATTCTCGGATGATGCCGAAGAAACATTCTCTGGAGCCTTGGGCACTCTCCAAGTAAAGTTTCCAAATCTCTTCATTCTAGTCATAGCATGGATTGATCATCTCTTTTCCAGAATCGAAGCTTGATCAAAGGTGGAGAACAGGTTGCTTTGGTCCAAAGTGGGAAGCAGCCAATTTGGCGATCGGAGTCAACACATCACATTCAAGTTCGCAAGGTCGCTTGAGAAATACTACAAAATTTTGGTCACCAAATCGAGGAAATAATTTCTTTTTGTTTTTGAAAGCAATATCGTTTTGAAAGTGATCGTTTTTCTCTACATTAATTTGATCTATTCTTTCTCTAAAGCTTTGCCCATCCCTGCTATTAAACTTTGATGCTATGGTTGCTGACTTTTAATTGACTTTGATTCGATTGTCTGCGGGAGATCCCAACAGATTCCAAAATCTTGTTACCGTTAAGTTAATCTCCTCGTCAAAGGTGTTGATCCGCCCTGGCCATTTTGTGCGCATTTAATGGGCGCGTGACACGTGTCGATGTACGCCGCCGTTAAAGCCCGCGCATGCGTTGGCGGGTTCTAACCGCAGGATCGGCAGAATCGACGGCTGCTTGTGGGCGGGTTAAGCAGCATGTTTAGAGGTAATGAAAGCTGGCTTTGGATTAATCGCGACGCCATAGCCAGGAAGAAATTTCTTTTCTCATATAGTGTGTCTGCCTCTCAAATTTCTTGCGGCAGCTGCCGCGCGCTATACCTCCGATCTTGCTGCCACTGCTCTCCAGGACGAATTTTTTTCTAGGGTTTCCTAGGGTTTAGCGCGCCTTGCCCGGTGGTGGCATGGCATGGTAGATTGTGAGCTCCAGATGCGTCGGTGAGCTCCAGATGTGTCGGTGAGTTCCTACATTCTTCCCAGAAAGTCTTCTCGAAAAATTTCCCCTCTTTCTTGCGTGGCTTTGCCTCAATTGCTTTCTTGTTTGCATGCCAGGTCTCGCGATCAATGGCGCGCGCGAGGAAAATCTCTCCCAACAGATAGCTAGCGGAGGAGGAGGGATCTCTGGCGAGAGGGATGGAGAGCTCATGCGGTGGCATCGAGGGCGGCATGAGAAATTGTAGCATCAGCGCTGGCGATCACGGTAAGGTGAGCGATGGCACGGCCTCGGCGAGCGATTCCAAGTCGAGCGGCTCCAAGGCGAGCGGCGCTGCGAAATCCAGCGCCCGGGGGTGCGGCGGTGGGATTGGGGGCGAGAGCGCCAAGAGCAGCGAGAGCCGGGGCTCTAACAGCAGCGCCGTGAGCGACAGCAACGATAGCAGCTGTAGCTCCTTCAGTGGCAACAGCAACAAGCCTCACAAGGCGAATGACAAGCGCTGGGAGGCGATCCAGGTTGCGAGAACTCGCGAGGGATTGCTGGGTCTCAGCCACTTCCGGCTGCTCAAGAGGCTCGGGTGTGGCGACATTGGCAGCGTCTATCTCGCGGAGCTGCGATCTACCAGCTGCTACTTTGCGATGAAGGTCATGGACAAGGGATCGCTGGCTAGCAGGAAGAAGGTGCTGAGAGCCCAGACCGAGAAGGAGATACTCTCCTTGCTGGATCATCCATTTCTTCCCACGCTCTACACACACTTCGAGACGGACAAGTTCTCGTGCCTAGTGATGGAGTTTTGCACTGGCGGGGACTTGCACACCTTGCGCCAGCGGCAACCAAACAAGCACTTTACGGAACAAGCTGCGAGGTAAAGTACTTTTTTTCTTGCGAAAGTTTCGATTTTGATTGCTGTTCTGGCTGAGAAACTGGAACTTCGAAGCTTCCAGCTCTTTTGGAAAGAGTGGAAGAGCATGGAAGTTTTGTGCTTGCCGGTTGGATTTTTCTTTCGGAGATGCTAGCTTTGAAACTGGAACTTTGAAGCGTCCAGCACTTTCGGAAAGACTGGAAGAGCATTGCTCGTTTGGAAGTTTTGTGCATGCCTGCCAGTTTGGATTTTTCTTTCGGAGGTGCTAAAACTGGAACTTTGAAGCTTCCAGCTCTTTTGGAAAGAGTTGAAGAGCATTGCTCGTTTGGAACTTTGGTGCTTGGCTGCCAGTTTTACTTCGTATCGGGTGACTGACAACTAGTTCGTTTGATCACACAGATTCTATGCCTCGGAAGTTCTTCTGGCACTGGAGTACCTCCATATGCTCGGGATCGTGTACAGGGACTTAAAGCCGGAGAACGTCCTGGTGAGAGAAGACGGCCACATAATGCTGTCCGACTTCGACTTGTCACTCCGCTGCGTGGTGAGCCCGACTCTCGTCAAGTCTGCTGCCTTGGACGGCGATCCTCTCCGGCGGCTGCCACTCTACTGCGTCCAGCCATCCTGCGTCCAGCCGGCGTGCATCCAGCCAGTGTGCGCGCAGCCATCGTGTTTTCTCCCCAGGCTCCTCCCGCAGATCTCCAAGAAAGGCCGGAAGTCGAAGAACGACGTCGGGAACCAAGTGAGCCCGCTGCCCGAGCTCGTAGCCGAGCCGACTGGAGCGAGGTCCATGTCCTTCGTCGGCACTCACGAGTATCTGGCTCCGGAGATCATCAAAGGCGAGGGGCACGGGAGTGCTGTGGACTGGTGGACTTTCGGGATTTTTCTCTACGAGCTTCTGCACGGAAAGACGCCGTTCAAAGGCACAGGCAACCGCGCGACGCTGTTCAACGTTGTTGGCCAGCCGCTCAAGTTTCCAGAGGCGTCCGAGGTGGGATTCCCGGCGAGAGACTTGATCCGGGGGCTGCTCGTCAAGGACCCGCAGCACAGGCTGGGATCCAAGCGCGGTGCTACGGAGATCAAGCAGCATCCTTTCTTTGAAGGCGTCAACTGGGCCTTGATCCGATCGACCGCTCCTCCGGAAGTTCCCAGGCCGTTTGAGCCGGAAGTTGTGCGATCGACTTCCACTGCTCAAGCTGTATCAGGGGAGAAATCTGGAGGAACAGGGACAGGGGCAGGGACAGGGACTGGAGGAGCAGCCAAAGGCGACTCGAATGGATCGAGCGCTTATCTCGACTTCGATTTTTTCTAGCGGCATCATGCTGGAAAAGGTAGAAAAAACCACTTTTTTCTCTCTAGCAGCATCGGCAGTGGCAGCAGCAGCAGCAGCAGCAGCGATTTTTATTTATAGTTCTATAAATTTGGATCGATCGAAGAACAAGGAGACGATTGACGAAGCTGGTGTTGCTTGTAGGTGAAAAAAACGAAAGAAAAAAAATCCCAGGCGTGACACGGAAGTGACTTGCTCGTTGTCTCCTTTGTTCTTGCTTTCTCTTGATCTCTACGCTCTCTATTCAGGTGTATATTATATAGTGATCTCTCCAAAGGCGGCAGTACTTCCATTTATACCAAGACGCCTCTTCCGGGAACTTGGGAAGAACAAGGAAAAAAAAAAATAATCAATCTTTGTCAAAAGCTTGGTGGTTTGTACCTTGGTGAAAATCAGATTTTTTTACTCGTGGTGTCGGTAGAAGTATACGGTGGGAGAGATCGAGATGTTTGCTGGTCCCTTTGTGTGCTTTGCAGGATCTTGTCCCGGCACTGTTTGCTAGCTGCGCGAATGGCAGACCATGTGGTGCGGGCGGAATATTCGACAGGCGGTGACGGAATATTTAGACGGGGATGGATATTCCGGTTACCTACGAGGAGGGACACTGTTCTTGATTATCGTCTCTCAAAGCACACGAGAAGATGGATGGAAGGCGCGATTTGCCAACAATGGGGGAGCTTCCAGGCGATGGTGCGTAGGGTTGCTTCTCGGCAGCGAGGCGGCGGAGCTAGCATCGATTGTCCGGTGAGCGCTGCGTCGGTCTAGGCTGGGAGCGATCGATATAGCGCCTTGCGCTTAGGGCTTTTGGACGAATTTGTGGGAATTCCTGGCGAATTCCTGGCAGCGGCTAGGCAGCGGCTTGTGGTTGGGAAATTTCGGTAGCGCAGCTCTTAGCTAGCAGGGATTTCCAGCACCGAGCGGGAGTTTTAGAACAGGTGATGAGAAATCTTGTGGCAGTGGCGCGATGTGGGATCGGGATAGAATCACCAGCGGCGGCTAGGCAGGAAAATCTCTGGGAAATATTGCATGGGATGGAGTGGCGGCTCGCGGCGCGTTTTATAATGCCTTGAGAAGAGCCGGGTTTAATTTTTCTTTCCTCTCTTCCTACGTCTATGGAGGTTTTGTCCACACGACATGGATGATATGGAAGCAAGCGAAGCATCTTCCACTCCAGGTAACAGCGAGCCGCCGGAGCAACGCTCGTTTCTTGCGCAGACCACTGAAGAAGTTGCCAGAGCCGCCGTAGCGGCCGCTGCCGCGATCAGGCCTCGACCATCCATTGTGGTTTCGTCCAGGCATCCGGTTGATAGCAGCAGTGCGTTCCAGAACAACAATAGCTTTAACAAATGGAGGCGCCAGCTTCAAAAGGTGTGGAAGTGGGGCTTGTACCCGCGTGAAGGTGGCAAGAAGAGCTCTTTCAATCCAGAGCTGCTGACCAAACAAAAGCGCCAGTGGATCGAGCTGCAGCTTCAAGCGTTGGTAAAGCAAAAGCTCTTGGATTGTCTCTCTTTTTGACGCATTGCTGCAGGAGAAGAAGCAGAAGAAGGAACCAACCAGCATCTTTGAGCATTTTGTGGTGGTCGGCTTGCATCCCGAGACTAATGTGGAGGTTGTGGAGGCCGCGTTTGCGAAGAAGAAGGCCTGGGAGAGGAATGTGGAGAAAGCTGAGCGGCTGAGCGAGGCCGATCGGCAGTATCGCGGTGCTCCGGCTCCTACGTTGGAGCCTCAAGTAGGTGATTATTGTTTTCATGCATCTCGTTTGCTTACGTATCGATTTTGAGATTGCAGGTACTCTTCAAGTATCCTCCAGGGAAACGTCTACCTTTAAGAACCAAAGATCTCCCATCGTTTTGCTTCCCGAGTGGTGTCGAAGTACGTGCGTATAGTAAGCTTGCCTAGCTGTGACTGAACGAACTCTTTGATTGCCTGTAGGCCAAAGTCGTTGAGCGGACCCCTTCCATGAGCGATTTGAACGAGGTCGTTTATGGACAGGTACTGAGACTTTTTGTTCTTTCAGTTTTATTCACTTTTATCATTTGCAGGACCATCAGGTGCGAGATGATCTGTCTTTCGTTTTTGTTCTCAAGGTGTGTAAAAGCTCTCTCAATCATAAAAAGCTACATCGTATTAAGTTTGCAGGTAGCAGATAATGCAACGCTTTATGGAATCTGCATTTTCGTTCGCGAGATTGTTCAAAGGGCGCCAGGATTTTTTTCAGTAAACACGCCCTTATCGTCGTCCAGGTTGACGCGAAGCCGGTTTCTGGTCTCCGCACCCCGATGCTACTGCATTCTCACGAAGCTTCCTTTTTTCCACCTACATTTTGAAGTATTGCAGAGGTACGTGCTAAAAGAGCGAGTGCTCTACGATTGCTAATGGTTTTTTCTTCTCTGGCAGTATTATTGCACAGGAGCGGCTTGATCGGATCAACCAATGTGTTAGCGAAATGAAGATATCCGACTACGTGCCTCCACTTGTTAAGCTCGGAAGTAAGGCAAATGGGAAAGCCAATTCCCCAAGGGATGACGATGAGGACGGCTGGATGGAGAGTGCAATTCCCGTCGAAGACGTTCTAGGGGCAACAGCAGCAGCTGCGGGCTTGATTTCCGAGAGCGAGATGAACTCATTTTCTTCTCTGAAGCACTCTAGCTTCTCCGAGAGAGACACTGAGTCGGGAGAAAGTGCTGAGATTTGTGCGACTGCCGAGAGTAGAGAATCAAACGGGCATATGGTGGAACAGAATGAGTCAGAGTTGCAAGCGTCTTCGCCAGATGATGTCCTTGCGAGCAGTACTGTGGATACGCCTCCGTCACACCGTGGCCATGAACGAGCTGAAAGCTCCGACTCCATTTACAGGTACGCCGTGCAAACACGTTCTAATGATGTACGTCTCACTCGTACTTTTACTGTGGCAGTGTTGTGGAAAGCTGTACTCAAAGCCTGGATTCTGACGAAGAAAATTGCGAGACAAGCGGTTTGGGTCAGGATGACATCGGTGTAGACTCTGTTTTCAAATGGGCCGAGGTGCTATCAGTTGTTTTCATTTATCTTATATTTTACATGTTCTTCTCTTTTCGCCTTCAGGAAAATAACTGTGACGCGTTGCGTATAATCTGTATGTATTACCACCTTCCAGTACCTCCCAGAGGCAGTCCGGTGTTTTTCCGGCCTCTCGACCATCTACAACCTTTGAACTTTGTCAGACCTCGGGAAGCAACCGACGATCCAGATGGATCGAAGAGCGGCCTGGAGCTAGCTGAGGTAACAGTGTTTTATAGTTTCATCTGATTCTAAACCTTGGACGCGTTCAATATAGGCCCACGAAACTGCAGCGGCGGAAGAAGAGGCCATTCTACTGTCGCTGTGGACTGTGTCTACCGTGTGCAGATCACTCTCCCTTGATACCGTGGGTTTATTTGATACCCAGTGCTTGCAGTGCTATCTAACTGTTTTTCTTGGCAGATACTCTCTATGGTTGCTGGAGCTTTACTCGAGAGACAAATGGTGGTTGTTTGTCCGAACGTTGTAAGTGGCATGGATTTATTTGCAACAGTTTCTCAGGTTTTGTCTGCCGCAGGGCATTTTATGTGCAGTTGTACTCTCCATAATCCCCATGCTGAGACCATTTCAATGGCAGAGTCTACTGCTGCCGGTAAGTTTTAATTACGTCATGCCCGTTATCCCGAGCTTTGGCACAGGTACTTCCATATAAAATGCTGGACTTTCTCGACGCCCCGGTGCCTTTTGTAGTAAGTCATTACCTCTGTTTACATCTATTGGTGGTAGTGACTATAACTTCTCCAGGTTGGCGTCCAACACAAAAGCTCTGAAGTGCGCTCCAAAATTTCCAACTTGATGCGTGTGAATGTATATAAGAACCAGGTATAAGCTACTGCGTTTGATGCTCTCTTGGCTGAAAGCTTCCTTTCGTTCAGGTGACTGTGTCTTACTTGCCTCAGTTGCCGAGACAGAGAGAGCTGGTAGCGGCACTGGAAACGTATCACTCCGAGCTCGCGGCTGTGGACTTTAAAGCAAAGAGACATCCAGTCCACGAGTACACGGAATCACAGGTAGTTTGCTCCGGTTGGTGCGACTGAACGAGAGATGGTTTCGGCATTGCAGGCACAGGCAGCGGATGGCTTTTTGAAGACTCTTAGAAGCTACTTAGAATCGCTATGCGCGGACGTGCGCGCTCACACGATCACAAACGTTCAATCTAATAACGACCGAGTAAGTCTCTCCGGCTTGTTGTATCATCTAACGACGCATATCCCGTCCAGGTCTCGTTGCTTTTGAAGGAGAGTTTTATTGATTCCTTCCCCAGCCGAGATCGTCCTTTTATCAAGGTAACACAAGATAGTACTTACTACAGTTTTCACAAGAAAACTAAAAGCTCGTTCTACTACTTCGCAGCTGTTCGCTGATACTCAACTCTTTTCGGTACATACTGACGCCGTTCTATCGAGCTTTTGATAAGTGTACACTGGCAGGCTTGTAATTTTTTTCTTTCTTTCTTGGTTCCCTCACACTTTTATCCAGCTGACGGGGTGTATCTACATATAAAAGAGAAACTTTTGAGACAAAAATAGCCACTCATATAGTAAGTTAATAGTTTTACAAAACGGAGAAAAAAGAAGAAAAAATTCACCCAGTTTGGCGGAGTTCAGCCGTTAATGGCATTGAAGGTGAACCTTGAAAGCTGCTGGGGGATGGCGGAGATCACTGGGCCATATCTCTGCAATAACGATTCTCACATCAGCAAAAGAGAAAAAGTTTCTCAAAACAAGCAAGCAAACAAGAAAGGGGATGTCAGTCATTAAAAGTTTCTTCTTTTACCTGTACATTGTCGTAGAGCTCAAACAATGGAACTGCCAGTAGCTTGAGATTCTTTGGAACAGCGAAGTATTGTTTCTCGGGGAGGAGAACCACGAAGAGCTTCTTACACTCCTGACACAAGAAATAATAAAAGAAGAGAGAAGATCATACCAAACGAAGAGCAAAGATCGATACCTTTGGTTTGGTGATGTGAGGAGGGCAGTAAGGATATAGCAGCGTCTCAAAGTTTGGTCTCCACCAAATCGCGGCGCACTCTCCAATCTGGAAGAAAAAGAAACGAACAAAACCAAAGTTCTTCCTCTATCTTCGTGTATTTCCATCGTACCTGCCAGTCGGGCTGGATCGAAGCCGCCGTTGGAGCAAGCTTGCTCGTGAGCTTCCTCTTCAATCCTTCCACCTCTACACAATCGAAGTTAGCAGCGTGAACGATGAAAGAAAGCTTCTTTACCGTTTTCTCCAGTCTTGAGTCTTCCTCCGGGAAGCTTGAAAAACGTATTCCCGATTTGCAGGAGTAGCAAGTGTGGATGATTGTGTTCTTGGACCTTCGCAAACAAAGAAAGGAAAGGAAAACAATGAAACTCTACGAGAGAGGAAGACAAAAAATTACCAGCAAAATTCCCTCCACGCTCGTTCGCATTCCCTCCTTCATATAGCTGCACAGAGGAGATCTCCGTTAGCCAAAGAAAAATTCTTTCGCTCCAATCTCCCATTCCACTCGAAACTTACTTGGTTTTCATCCGCGCGAGCCGATCCGACACCGACGTGTCCTTCTCCATCTTCACCTCCTTGCTGCCAAACGTATAGCTCGACAGCGGGTAGACATTCACGACGGGGCCGGAAACCATCGCTCGCGCCTCGCGCTCTTCTTTCTAGGGCTCCTGGCAAAAACCCGAGCAAAGAAATCGCCACCGTCGGTTCTCGTGCAATCCCAGCCGTCAATCGCCCAACGGTCGAGATTTTCTCAATCACAGCCGTCGGACACCAACAGCCACGATATCCCTTGTACAAAACAACGAGCGAGAAAATTTGTATTTAGACCGCTTTCACAGTGAGGCCGCTGGGATGGTGGTGGTAGACTTCGTCCCTGGAAGGCATTTCCAAGCAACAATTAGCTCCCTGAAGCCCACCTTGGAGGACGCTACTGGAGCTATAGTCGACGTTCATGCTAAACGCTCCAACGCTTCCGTGCGATGAGCAGTCTGTCAATGCCGGCGAGAATGGCCTCGAGTTGTCTTGGACAGCAAGCTGCTGAAGCCTCGATCTCGCAAGCTTCGATGCCAATTCACCGTCCCCTACCTGTGGTTGTGTTTTTCGAGCACGGAGTGAGGAGGCAGTCGAGAAAAATGAGAGCTTTACCTTGTTGAGAGCTGCCATTTCCACGTCTCGAGCCGTCACTCCCCGCTTGACACGGTCCCGGACTTGCGTGCGTCTCAACGTCTTGAGCTCCTCCTCCAAGCCGACCTTTTCGCTCTTGAGCTTGTTGATCTCCATCAAGAGCTGGTTCACCGTGTTCATCAAATCCATCTTTTCTGGTGGTATGCGGCCGTTGCGTGGTTGCCGGACCAAGAACTGGATATATAAAACACGAAGCTCGCTCAGAGAGATGGACAATCAAAAGAGAGAAAGAGAAAAAAGCTTTGTACCTTTTGGTTGAGCTTCAAAGTTTCGAGCTCTGTTCGGGCTTTCTCGTTATCCTGTGGTGCCAGAAAAGCAAATAAGAACGCGATGAAAACCAAAGAGCAAATTCTGGAAATAAACAGCAAACCTTCCGCAGTTGGAAAACTTGAGAAACCAGCTGAGATCGCGCACTGGATTCCTCCTTGAGGCTGGCTTCTAGCATGGCCCTGGATGCCTCGACAGAATGGAGCTTGTCTTGCAAAGCTGTTAGCTCCTTCTGGACTTCCATAAGCCGTCCTTGACCTTGTTGCTCTTCCGTTTCATACATTTTTAGCTTAGATTTTAATTGCTGCACTTCGGCATTGAAGAGTTTCTGTAGAGCACAACAACGTCACGTTCTCGTTGAATAAGAACAAAGAATGTTTCTGGTAGACAGATAGCAAATAGAAACAAAAACAGACAGTACGCACCTGCAAGGACTGTAACTCTTGGCGAAGTAAATGCTTCTCAAATCCAGCCTCGTCACCGCTAGGCACAGCTTGGCCCGTTGGCTGCTTCTTATCCCGCGTCAGCTGCATCTCGTTGCGCAACTCCTCATTCTCTTGTTTCAACTGCGATCCCCCATTAACGGCAACGTCAAAATCTATCAAGCACACAGGAAACAAAGCTATAAACTAAAGACCTTTCCGCGAATGAGAACGAGTGTGTCGTTCTTTGCGTCCACAATCACCCTTAATAAAGTCAAGCTGTTCTCCAATCTCGTCAGCTGCAAGGGAAAAAAAACAAGTCATACACAGTACGTGAGCATCAACCTGTGATCTTATCTATATCTCTCCTTTTGCTTGCACAAGAGAAAAAAAAAAATCAAAATTCTCGTACCTGTTGCATGATAAGTCTGCCCTCTCCAGAATCTGGTGCTACTTTTTGCGGCAACTTGCCGACTTCAAAACCGGAAGGCTTAAAAGTAGGAAGAACGTGTCGTTGGAAGCTGTCCACGGAATCCGCGAGGCTGCTGACAATCGCTGTGCTCTTGCACAGAGCCTCCTCCAAACTCCGGATGTGGTCGGCCATTCGAGACTCTTGAGAGCCGGCGTTGTGCCTGGCCTCCTCGAACGCACGCAGCGCCTCCTCCTTCTGTATGTGCAGTTCATCCCTCTCGTTGATCACCTCCCGCAGCTGCGCCGACGTGCCTTGCAACAGTGACTTGAGCTGCTCCACCTCGCACTTGAGCTGCGAAGTTTGCGACTGGACGAGTGATGACACCTCCGCGTCACGGTGCTGTCGCAGCCTCTGGAGCTCAATCCTCTGAAATGAGAGAAAACGAATCACTCCTTAAAAGTAGCTACTTGAAAGAAGAAAAGCTCACAGCAAACTTGTAAAGTACCTGGTTTTTCTCCCTGGCGATGACATCGTTAAGCTGGCACCTCAACAAATCGTTCTCGTTCCTCAGCGACTGGGACAACACGCTTTCGACGTCTGTTAACTTGGGCTGGACTTTCTTCTGCAAATCCAATCGTGTCACCAAAAAAATAAAAATCCAAAATGTGGCACTCACATCTGGTGTAGATGATCTGTCGCCAACAACACTCCGATTTCCATCCATGTCTGCATCAAAACAATCGTCAGGATCCAGCACCACTCACGCTAAAATACATTTTTTCCTTCTCTCCTCGTGGATGGGAGCAAAGCAAACTAGGAGGAGGAATTACACATAGGCGACATGATCCGCCCACTGGGAAAAAAACCGAACTTACGCTGTGTGCCCTAAACCTATTTTACCGGTTAGGGCAAAAGTGGGCGCGCCGGAAGAGCGCCGCAACCTCATGGATCCACAATGCGCGGCGCCGAGGAGGAGGAGAATCGAGAAAAACTCTGCCCTGATTCATCGCGGTGATTGACCGAGCAATCGATCGCGCCGGCCACAGCGCGAAACTCTTTTTCTCCCGTTCTAGCCCTAAAATAAATTCGGACCCCCTTTCGCGCGCTAGAGCAAAGGGGTCGCTCGATCGAATCCTGCCACTGCCTGCCGTAAAAAGAATGAAAGTTACAGTTACGGTCGGGGCATAGTTGAAAGAATCTAGGTTAGCGTGTCACCGAATATGCCCTCCCCCGAGGAAGAGGAGAGAATCGCAGAGAGAGGGGGGCGGGGAGGGGGAAATTGTATCCTCGGGAACTCTGAATCGCGGCAATGGAATCCAAGGCGCGAGTAGTAATTCCATCCTCCTCTTCTCTCTCCCTCCTCCCCTCCTCTCTCTCGCTCGGCCGGAGGAATATATAGAGGGGATGAGGGCTTGGATTCGTTTCGCGATGCCCTACGGCAATTCCTCGCGCGCTTGTTCTTCCTGTTCTCCTTCGTGTTCTTGCGCTAGATCGGCGCTGCGATAGCAAGAATTGGGGTGACAATCGGCAATGCGGGAAACAGAGTGGGGTGTTTGACCACCGCTCTCCTCTCTCTTTTTTATTCCTTGATTGATCCCCTCTCCTCTCGCTTTCTCACAATATCACGGCAGCTGGGTCCGTGATCCACGGCGGCCTCCTCTAGCGCGTCGATTTCGTGTGGCCGGCCAGCGCAATTCTCCCTCTCCCCCTTCCAATCGCGCCATTGGGGTTCTTGGTGGAATTTCTCGCCATTGCTGTTCTTGCGCTAATGGTTATCATCGAGCAACGCGTCTCTTCTATGTCACCGTGGAGGCCAGATCGTCGCGGCTCAAGAATTGGTAGCTTCAGATCTCCCAGGATCCAGGGATCATCGCCACAATTCCAGGTAAATCACTGAGACTTCTTGTTTAGAGAATCTACACGTACCACCACTACTACTACTACTACTGCTACTGCTCCGGCTACTACTTCTCCGCCGAGAATTTTTTTCTTCGATCGACTGCATCATCCTTCTTCATCAGCCATACATACAGTCTCGTCGGTTGAGTCGGCCCATCAGAAACTAGAAATTCTTCGCCAGCCATCGCAGATCTTCTCACCAGCCAGTCCAAAAATACTTCCTTACGCCTCCCAAAAATTTAACGCGCAGAGAATCATTCAAGTCCGACCGCTACAGATCAAATTCTTCTTCTTCCCGAGAGTCAAGTTCTATAAAGAGCTCCCCTTGAAACGATGGATTGTGAATCCATCAAGCAAATGGAAGCTCTCTTAGAACAAGGTAAAGTTTCTCCAGTCTCTCGCAGGCACAGTTCTCTCTTCTGGTTCCACGAGAGTTCTTCTTTCCTTTTTGTTCTTGATAGATTCTAAGTTTCTTAGGACAGTGCTTGGTGGTTGTTCTAATGGCTATTTTTTTTCTTGCTCTCCGTTTTGTTTATTAGATTCTCGTCAACTTAACTAACACTTTGCTTTGATCGCATGATACGTTTCCTGGGCGGTGTTTGTAGCCGATGAGCCTCTCCAGCGATCTTTCCAGGTGACTTCAAACTTTTGCGAGATTGGCCCATGCAAGAGTTGTCTTTTTTGCTTCTTCTTCTTGCCTGAGCTTCGACTTCTCGTGTGGATGGATTCGCGTGTTAAGTGTCTTTCCTTGGAGCACAGCGACTTTTTTCCTTTGAATCTAGAAACGTGTTGCTTCCCTTTCCTGTATGTTTGTGTTTGTTTCCTTTTTTTCCTCTCTTTCTAATTTGTGTACGCGTGGTGGGGACTGTTTGGAAGCTCTTATGGTGGAATCGATTTTTTTCCGAGTGATGGGATTCGTTTCTTGACTGACTTCTTACAAAACCAAAAAGTTTCTGGGTGGACTTCTCACTCATGCTTTTACGTGTATCAGAATATGCATCAAGGATTCAAGGAAAATAATCTGGAGCGCTTTCTGCGAGCGCGGGAAGGCAATGTCGTCAAAGCCAACAAGATGGTAAACGTCATCGCTGTCAGTGAGTTCGATGCTAACTTGTTCGTGACAATCCCAGCTTGTGGATTCCTTAAATTGGAGAGTAAGCAACGACATCGACGACATTCTCTCTGTAAGCATTCTGATTTCCATTCGTCCATTCATTTCTCGGTTAAGTAAGGTCGTTGTTTGAGCTTTTTTCTCCTTTTCCTAGAAACCGATTGAGCCGAAAGAATTGTACGATGCAATCCGAGAATCACAGCTTGTTGGCATGTCCGGATTCGACAAGCAGGTAACTTTCAATCGTGAAAGTTCTTTAGTTTTTTTCCCGGATCATGTGGATAATCCAGATCCCGAGATTCTTTTCAGGGTAGACCTGTCTTTGCTATCGGAGTAGGACATAGTGGCTACGATAGAGCACCGGTGAGTTTTCTCTGAGCCAAAAAGCTGTCGAAAATTTCTCCTAAAGTTTTTAACTCCGGGATTTCTTGTCCAGCTTGACAAGTATGTACAATCGCACATTCAGATTAACGAATACCGTGACCGTGTTGTTCTTGTAAGTTTTTCAATGCTCCTCTTGTATTTTCCTTTTGTTTCTTCTCAAGTAGTTCTAAACCTTTTTTTCACTTTTGTCAACACATCCAGCCAGCTGCGTCAAGGCAATTGGGACGATACGTAGGCTCGTGTTTGAAGATTCTTGACATGACTGGCCTCAAGCTATCAGCTTTGAACCGGATCAAGGTAGGTTTTCTAATTCTTTTTTTGCCTGATATCATATACAATCCTTCTCCAGATCTTGACGGTCATTTCAACCATCGATGATCTAAACTATCCCGAGAAAACGGACGCGTACTACATTGTCAATGCTCCTTACGTTTTCACTGCGTGCTGGAAGGTAAACAACTTAAATTCTCTTCTAAGTTAAGTTGTTCCCTTCATCGTCTGGTAGGCTGTCAAACCATTGCTGCAAGAACGCACGAAGAAAAAGATCAAAGTTTTGCAAGGCTCGGGTAGAGAAGAGCTCCTTAAGGTGACGGTTTTCTCCATTAAGTTAAGGAGTTCTCCAAACGATATTTACCATTTTTTTTTTTCTCGACTTTGCAGGTCATGGATGCGAGTGTCATTCCGGAGTTTTGCCGGCCATCCAAAGAATCGAGAGGGAAAACCACGCCGATAGAGCCCAGCACTAGCTGCTTCTCATCGTCACATCCTTTCCACATAGAGCTATGGAGCTACATCAAGCAGCGAGCTCTCGAGTCCCAATCAAGGAAGTGTGGGCCAGCTCCAACTCTCTCTTTTCACGTGAAAGTCCCAGACAAAGCCTCGGAGGGGAGCTCGGAAGTCGTCCAGATCATCGAGTCGACGTTAGAGCACTTAAATCTGGACGAGGATGGTAGCGTTAGTGGTAATGGTAGCACCAGCGGCAGTAACCATGGTAGCAGCCACCATGGTACCGACGACGAAGCAAGCAGCAAAGCTCGAGAGTGAGCAAAAAATTTTCCCCATCTTTCTCAACTTCTTTTTCTTGCTTTTGACACCAACAATGGTGAAGAAAGCCTTTAGAGCAAACACAAAAATTTTCCAGCGTCTTGTTCGTCCTTTTTATTAGTGCAGTGTTCTCTCCATGTATCTATCTCCACGTTTTTTTTTTTTTTTTTCTCTTTCCTCTTGTTTGGAGCGTTCTGTTGTCAATAGAGAGATGGAAGGCAGTGGTTGGATTCGCATTTTTATATAGCGACAGTCCCGGGAATCGAACCCCCGACCGCCAAGAAGCGAAGGGAAGGAGAAGATGCAAGGCGCTGGTATTTCCTCGTTTGATCCGGCCGGGAGCGCCGAAGCGATGGAGTGAGGTTAGGGTTTTGTGTTGCGCGAGAGCTGGGATCGCCGAATATGGAGAAGCAGCCGGATTCTCCCGTCGCGCCTTCGTCTCCGCCGCCGGGCGAGGCGTTGCCAGATTCACAGGGCGAAAAATCGAAGAGCCTCGTGGCGCCGCAAGCGCAATCGATCCAGGTAAATTTTGATAATGTCGGTGAATCGCTACAGCGATTTCTTGTGGCGGCAGGCTGTGCAATCGCCGCAGCAGCAGCAAGCATGCAAGAGCGAGGATTATCGGAAGCTCTTCCATCTTCCCGTTGAAGAGGTGTGATCGAATTTTTCTTCGCGACGTCTCCTCCCGCTGAATTTTTGTTCTCTCTTTCCAGATTCTAGTCCAGGATTTTAACTGCGCCTTCCAGAAGAAGATACTCTTGCAGGTGCTCTTGTCTTTTTACTCACCATTTCCAGTTCTTGTGTTGTCCGCATTGTAATAAACTAACAAGCAAACAAACGGTGGCAGGGACACATGTACCTCTTTGAGCAATACATATGTTTCTACTCTAACATTTTTGGCTACGAGAAGAAGGTATCTATCCACATAGTTCTTCTACTTTCTTCAAGTTCTTTAATTTTTTTTTCAGAAAGTTTTGCCATTGAAAGACGTAGCGTTCGTGCGTAAGTCATGGACGGCTGGACTTTTTCCAAATGCTATTGAAATTGGCGCCTGGGGGAAGAAGGTAACTTTTGCAGATCGTTTCGACGTTTCACTTGTCGGCTGATCGCTGCGTTGTTTCAGTATTTCTTTGCATCGTTTCTCTCACGCGACGAAGCGTACAGATTAATTGTAAGAGGATGGTCACGTCACAGTGGTCATGCAAGAACATCAGAGTTGGTATGTCGCTTCTCTCTGAAGTAACTTTCCAGCAACTTGCCTTACGCTTTCTTTAATTCAACAGCTAGAGCAAATGATTCCTTCGCAGGCTTCACTGAGCCCGACAATCTGTAAAAACAGGTATAGTCTTACCCATTGGAGAGATCAATCGGTTTCATCTTTTTACTTCTAGCGAAATTCTCGAAATTCAAGAGGTGGGCTGCACGGAGGAAGGCGATGAAAAACAAGTTCTCCCAAAGTTGGAAGAGAGCACAGTTTCCAGCGCAGTAACGACTGAACCCGGTGTCAATGAATCGGTTATTTGGAAAATTGAAGACACCCCGCCTCCACCTTGTACGTGTCTATTCTCGAGGTAACATTCGGTCTGGAACATTAGCTTGCTAAGAAACAAATTTTGTGTTCTTGCAGTGCCTTTGGAGTTCAAGACAATTATGGAATCAGAATTTCCAGTATTTCTGTTACCTGGTTGCTTTTACTTCGAGCTCACCCCTGGCTGATAGGTTGACGTGCAAGACTTCTTTGAACTTTTCTTCTCTGATAATGCCACCAATTTTGCTGACGTTTTTCGTAAGAGATGTGGCGATGAAGGTGAGAACCGCACATTGGTTTCGGATCACACTGAAAATTATATTTTAGATTTTAGGTCCACCCTGTGGTCCTCGCATCCACGCTTTGGCCATGTCCGTGACATCTCTTTTCGCCACCCGGTGAACTTGTACTTTGGTAAGTGTCTTAAGCTACTTTACTCTCACTGATGTTTGGAACTCCGGCAGGTCCTAAGTCAGCTGTATGTAGTGAAACACAACGTTTTCGAGTGTACCGTGACAGGTAAGAACTCTGGAATTTTATTAATAAGTTTACAGTTTCTGTGCAGCCATTTGGTCATTGAGACGTCGCAACAAATGTCGGAGATTCCATACGCTGATTATTTTCACGTAGAGGTATTGTGAACCGGAATATCAATTTTCTGCTGAACTTCTGGAATCAGGTGCGATGGGATGTTGAAAGAGTTCCTAAACCAGTCTCATTTCATTCATATGTTCGCGTTTCTATGAACGTTGACTTCTCCAAAAAGACCTTATGGAGAGGTACGCTATATTCGCAGCGTAAATGCGTGAGAACAATTTTTTTATTCTGGTTTAGGCAAGATCGAGCAAGCAACACTTGACGAATGCAAAGAGACGTATTCACTTTGGGTGCAAGAGGTATGCTAGCTTTGTCCCAATCAAACTTTGTGACTAAAGATTAATTTTCTAGGCACACAACGTTCTCAATTCTAGAGCTGACCCGGGACGCGTGGAAGCTTCACTGGAAAATTCCCCCACAGGTGATCTCCTGGAATGCATAACTCGTTCTTTTTTTTACAATAACGTTTGTGGCCAGAAGGGAGCAAGCCATCCGAAGACTTGAGCTTGATCGCTGACAGCAGAGAAAGCGAGCACGTACGAACGCGGAAGAAAATCGCGGCACTGCTCGGCGGCATTCGCAACTTCGTGCTGCGGTTCCTATCGGAGAATCCTGTAGCCTGTGGGATCCTCCTCATCGCTATCGTCATCGTGCTAGCGCAGGTAGGAAACAGAAGTTTTCCTTGGAAAGTTCTCTAACTTCGTGACGATGGATGCTCTCTCGCAGGCCTTTACGCTCCTCACAGTGTCAAGCGAGCATCACCATCAATCTCCCGAGACGATTTACACCCCGGAAAGCATGAAACGATGTTATGGGGGATCGAGTGATGCTCTAGCGTGGCTAGAACAACGCGCTCGCACCGTGAAAGACGAGGTAGCATTGGCGGAAGCCCGTCTACAAAGCTTGCAACAGGACCTCTCGCTGCTAAAGCTCCACATGAATTTATTCGAGAGATTGAGAACACAACATCAGAAGATTTGATCGAGCTAATGGCGAATATTTTGGGTATATACATAGTTTTAAAGAGTAAAGGCAATGTGAAGCGTTGCGCCCGGTGCCAGACCTAGATTTGCCGAACCAAACGGAGCCCCCGAGCCTGAGGAGATGCCCGAACCTGGCTCTCTCACCCACAAGCCTGGTGCGCAAGCCCTAGAACGCTTGAGACGCCATTTCATCACCGCCACGCTACGCCGGGCGCCCGGGGCCGCGCATCGGTGGTCCGTGCTAGGGATTTCCAGCGCTCTCGGCCTGCTACCTCGAGGAATTCGAGGTATGGAGTGAGATTTCCAGGCGCGGAGTGAGATTTCCAGGGGGCGGAGCTGTGCAGCCAGAAAGGGCAGGGTAGGATGGTGCGGCGATTCTAGCTCGCGAGTGTGGAGGAATTCCACCGGGAGGGGGGCGGTGCGGCATGGATTCGGAAGATGACATGCACGACGCCTGCACCTCGGATGACTACGATAGGGATGAGGACGAGGACAGTGATATGATTCCAAGCGATGAGGACGGTGACGAGATCGGCGACGACGAGTCGGACTATGGCTTCGACGATCAGTCAGCTGATATCTTCCAGCCCAGCTCCAAATGCTCTCAGGTAAGCTCTAGCACTGGCTCCAGGGTTTGATTCCATTTGCTCTTCCTCTTTGCGCTACAGATCAACTTTGTCATTCTTAGTGAGGCTGAGATCCGGCAAAGGCAGGAGCAATCCATCACAAGTGTTGCGACCGTTTTGTCTGTACCACGGATAGACGCGGTTATTCTTTTGAGACATTTCAAGTGGTATGTATGCTAGTCGACTCGTCCTGGCCTTCTGTGGGACGCCAAATTGTTTCTTTCTCGTGACGCGTTGTTGCAGGAGTGTTAGCAGAGTAAACGAGGAATGGTTTGCGGACGAGCAGGGGGTACGGCGGTCTGTGGGTCTCCTCGAAAGGCCAACGTCCCAAAGCACTCCAATGGCTATAGAGGTAACTTTACGAACTCTTCTTCTTCGTCGTCTCTTCTTCTTTTGCGTTTGGAAAAAGTGCTGAGGGGATTTTGTTTTGCTTTGCAGCCGACATGCGGTATCTGTTTTGAGTTGCGCTCTGTTGATAGAATGAAGGCGCCCGCGTTTTGTAACCATTCGTTTTGTGACATATGTTGGACTGGTGAGTTCACTCGTTTTGCTTTTCGCGCTGCTAACTTTGGTGTTTGTGTAGGATACATGCATACGGCAATCACGGATGGGCCAGGTTGCCTGACCCTTCGTTGCCCCGATCCACCTTGTGGCGCTGCCATTGGGGATGACATGATAATGTCGTTGGTCTCGGAAGAAGACCGTAACAAGTACATGCGATTTCTCCTTAGATCTTACGTTGAAGATAATAGAAAGGTCTTTCCTCTTTTTTTTTTTTCTTTTTGTTTCCACTGAGTGGATTATTCATAGGAAGAATACTGAAATTTTGTTTTTGTTTTCTTTTTTTTTTCTTCTCGTGCGCAGGCGAAGTGGTGTCCAGCTCCAGGTTGTGAATTTGCTGTCGAGTTTGTACCAGGCAGTGGATCCTACGACATCGTTTGCAAGTGCGGGCATTATTTCTGCTGGAATGTAAATGTTTTTTTCTTCTTTTTGATGTCGCCTGGGGTTTCTGACGCTTGGTTTTCTTTAGTGCTTAGAGGAAGCGCACCGACCGGTAGATTGTGAGACTGTTGCAAAGTGGATCCTCAAGAACAGCGCGGAGTCAGAAAACATGAACTGGTACTATATCCAGCCTTTGTATCAAGTCATTGTCACGTACGTAGCTGTTGTCAGGATCTTGGCGAACTCCAAACCATGCCCGAAATGCAAAAGACCGATAGAAAAGAACTTGGGGTGCATGCACATTACCTGTACGCCACCGTGCAAGTTTGAATTTTGCTGGTAAGTTCACATTTCTATCGTTCTTGGCTAGATACATCATGTTTACCATCTATACAGGCTATGCCTTGGTCCGTGGTCGGAACACGGCGAACGAACCGGAGGGTTCTACGCTTGCAACCGATACGAAGCGGCTAAGCAGGAGGGAGTGGTACCAATTGATATTTACGTTTCCCTTCACGGACTCATCCTGTTTGTGTAACAGTACGATGAAGCTGAGAGGAGGAGAGAAATGGCTAAGAACTCGTTAGAGAGATATACACATTACTACGAGCGATGGGCCACGAACGAATCAGTTGAGTTTCCAATTTGAGTATCTGATAGGCCTTTCTAACTTCGTTCATGGTACAGTCCAAAACGAAAGCGATTTCAGATCTACAACAGATGCAAACGGTTCAGGTAAATAACCCTGTCTTTGAAGTTCTTTTCCTCACTTCCAGGCTAATGCGTTGCTGTTGTGCAACGCAGATCGAAAAACTCAGTGACAAGCAATGCCAGCCAGTATCCCAGTTGAAGTTCGTTACGGAAGCGTGGATTCAGGTGAGAGCCGCGATGCCGAAACCAGGAGCATAGATTTTCTTTACTGAGCTAATTCTGCTTGCAGATTGTAGAATGCCGCCGTGTTCTCAAGTGGACCTACGCATACGGCTACTATCTTCCTGAAATGGAGCAGGCCAAGGCTCAGTTTTTCGAATACTTGCAAGGTACTTCCGTAAGCAAGAAAGCAAAAAAAAATGCAAAAGAGAGACGCTTTTTCTCCGTGAAGAAGACAAAGCTTTAACACCTCGGTTGGCATGTCTTCAGGTGAAGCAGAGGCCGGATTGGAGCGCTTGCATCTGTGCGCTGAAAAGGACTTGCAGATATTTCTAGAGGGGGATTCACCCAACGCCGCGTTCAACGAGTTTCGAACCAGGCTTGCGGGCCTCACAAGGTAAGAGCGGAGCCTGTGTATGTATAGAGTATATAGTAAGCGTCCACTTGCATTTAGCTGCTTTCTTTCTCCCCTCTGGCATCACTCACGCCGCTTGTGTCTTGTCCCTATACAGTGTAACCAAGACGTACTTCGAGAACCTTGTAAGAGCCTTGGAGAACGGGCTCTCAGATGTGGAGAACTCGCGATCTGGGAAAGGGGCGAGCTCCAAAGCCTCTGGAAGTTCCAAAGGCAAGTCTGGGAAGATTAGGATTCTTGGTGGCGGTGGTGGTGGTGGTGCTGGCTCCAGGAATGGAAATGGTGGCTCCAGCCGCGGTGGCGGCGGAGGTGACGATCATTGGTCTTGCGATAACTGTACATTTGTGAACGTGAATGGGGCGACAGCGTGTTCCGTCTGCAACCGTGTGAGACCCACGGCCGCATTTTAGCGACGCAAGAATTCGAGGTGAGAAGTTCCGACTTTTCGTATTACAACCAACACAGGCACAGGTTCAACAGGAAGGACAAAAAAAAGTGAAAGAAAGCTGTAAATATGCTGGTTTAACTTATTATGTGTGTACATATCATGCCATTTTAGATAAATCAAAAGGATCAAAGCCTTAGAATCAAAAAGAAGAAAGGAATAGAGAGGAAGACAAAAAAAAAATCTGATCTGATCTGACCAGATAGAATATGACGTTTTACAAAAGAGTTCTAAGATTAAAAGAAAGAAAAAAGGAGAAACAAAATCTACTCCTCTGATACATCTCAGCTCTACAAAAAAAAAAAAAAAAAAAAGTGGCTTTTCTGTTGTGTCATGGATTGTAGAGCTTGTTGCCACACTTGCACTTCCACCCCTCAGGCTTGTAGTTGGAATATTCACTGCAGACTTGGCTTGGTGGGGAGGAAGATTCCCCCTGTGGGGAAGAAGAGGAAGAGGAAGAGGAAGAGGAAGGAGTGGAGGAAGAAGAGGGGCTCTGATGAGACAGTGGTGCTGGGACCTGGACTGCTTGGCAGGGGAGGCAGGAATTACACTTGTTGGAGCAGCTGGGAGGCCTGGATCCGATCTTGAAGCTCAGCTCGCCTCTCGCAGGCTGCACAAACGAGAATGGCGTGCGTGAATCCCAGCACTCCAATCCATAGCCCAAAAGCCCAAACGAGCGCGATGGATCTTACCTGCGCGGGGCTGACATCCAGATCGGTACTCGAGGATGGGTGTCCATGATATTCCAATGCTCCTCCTCCTCCTCCTCCTCCTCCTGGGAAAACAATCAAGACGAGCGATCAGCTAGAGGGAGTGGGAGCGTCGGGGGGAGCGATTACCGACTGGAGCGAGCAGGGATCGTGCGGCCGTGCAGCAGCAGATCGAGATGACGCTCTGGATCAAGAGCAAGCAGCAGTAGCTAGAAGAGCACGACGGCGAAGAGGAGGAGGAGGCGATCATCGCGAAGGACTTTGATCGATCTAGGGAGAGGAGTTGGATCGTCCTGGCTAGCCCTGGGGGTGTCGATTGGATACCGCGGCGCGACTCCCAGATTTAAGAAGGGCGGCCGCCATTGGGATCGATGAATTCGATATTGCGGGGATTCCCAGGAAGATCGAATTTTTCGGCGCTGACCTATCCGATCGATTGGGAGGAGAGGAGAGGAGGGAGATCACGATTCACGGCCGAGAGCTGGAAGAATGCCCTGGCGGCCGGGGAATTCCTGTTGCGTTTGTCTGTTGCGCTGCGCGCCCTTGTTCCTGTCTTGCATTAAAGGCACGCAACAGAAAGATTGTGTGTGGAAATCTGTGATGTGAGAGCGCGAGTGAGAGTGAGCGCGATTGAGAAGGAAAGACAGGACATGGATCGATCAATCCAAGTTTCGCATAAACCCTAAAACTCGGCAGGGAGAGTCTTTTCCCCTTTTATTCCCTGTCGCGTCATCTGCCACGTGGTCGACACGTCGGTGGGTTTTTGCCGACGTGTCTTGCGGGCCGGGGGTTAAACAGGCTTTGCGGTGTTATATAAGCAGTGGGCCATTTTCACGTGAGAGATGCTGCCAAAGATTTGCTCCTCAAAAGCTCTACACAAACATATGCCAAATCTCCCAAGTTGAGAGATTGGTGTGCTTGACTTTAAGAGATCACAAATAATATTAATCTAAAACAAATCTTAAACTCGCCCGTCTTCAAACGACAAGGCGGGTCAAAATTCTTGACGATCTTGTCAATCCCTCTCCATCACAAGGTAGAAAAAAGAAAGTTGCCATCCATAGATGGAGATGGTCACTGTTTACTAGATTGTCCCAGGTCAAAAATCAAGCTTTCCACCGTCACTTTTACCCCATCACTCACTCAACCATGTGATCCACTTGAACAATCACTGGCCTAGGTTTGACTTGTGAAGTGGTGGACTTTGAAGAGGCAACATTCATTTCTCAGAGCTTCTCCATCAAATCCATTTTCTTGTCTTGTTTTCCTACTACTGAGCTTTCCAAAACTAGTTGTATTTCATTAATATAAACCTGTGCTAAGCTCTTCTCCTCTAAAGAGTTAGGTGTGTGTAAGTATCATGGCATGTAGAGCTTGTTGCCACATTTGCACCTCCATGCCTCTGGGTAGTACTCTGTGGTTCTCACAAAGCCTGGCTGGATTGGAACATGCACAGCCCTGCATGGGGAGCAAAAGCCACACTTGGAATTGCACTGTGGTGGGGATGACCCCAGCCCACTCAAATCCCTCCTGGACTTGTCACCAGCAGATGGGCTCCTCCTGTTTGGGCTTGGGAAATCCAGCTTGGTCCTCTCCTGATGAGACAGAAACAACACACACAAACAAACAGATGATTCATGAGTAATTTGGTTGGTTTTGAAAAAATATATAACTCTCTCTCTCTCTCTCTCTCTCTCTCTCTCTCTCTCTCTCTCTCTCTCTCTCTCTCTGTGTGTCTGTGGGTGGAGGTGGAATTTACCTTGTGATCTTGGACTTCGGCACTTGCTGATACTGATGATGATGGTGCTAATCTCTTGTCATGGATTGGTTGCAACTTCCTGCTGCCTGTATTGCAAGTGCTAGTTAGCAAATCTCAAAACTCCACCAAGAAAAGAAAGGAGAAAAGCTTCTCACCTCTTGACAATGTTGGGTCAGCCACTGCTGATCCCATGGAAGAAAGAGCAAGCAGCAAGAAGAGACAACAGACTGATGTCCATCTTCTTCTTCTGCTGCTGCTCCTGGTCATGATCATCCTGTGATGATCGAAACCAGGCTGAGACTCCTGCCGCTGCTGCGGTTGCATTTGATCATCAGGTGTGCAGCAACATGAGCAGCATGAGTGACGATCCGTCTCCACTTCCGCCTGCGCAGGCCGGCCTTGTCTGATGATCATGTCAAAGCTCCTTGAGAGGAGGTGATGATGATCACTTGCACAAGTGATGATCTCCCCCTCTTCTCCGCTACTCCTCCACGATCTTTAAATGCTGGGAATTCCTACAACCAGGTTGCTGATCTCAGGAGGAGGGAGTGGAAGAGGAGGAGGAAGAAGGGGAGGAGGAGCTTGTACCTTGGCCTTTCCAACTGCAAACCATTTATAACTCTGGGCCTGTTGCTGTGCTAGGAGGTGAGAGAGCACTGATTCTGCTGCTGCTATATACTGCTAGAATGCTGCTGGCCTGGCTGCTATGCTGTGCCTTTTGCCTGAATTCCTCCCTGCTTGAATTCAATGCAATTCAATTCCTTTGGTCGTCGAAAAGCTCTCTCTCCAGCTGATCTCCTCTCGAGCAGTTACTCGTACCGCAAACGAGAAACTTGATGGCGAGCAAAGGGAAGTACTTTTGTTACTGCCGCCCCAAAGCAACGCAGATCGCGAGATCAGGAAGCGGTAAGAAGGAAGGGATACTCCCCCGGGAAGAAGCTCTCTTTCTCTTTCTCTCACTCCAGGAAGTTGAAGAACGTCCCTCACTCACAGACAGCTTTGACAAGAGCTCTCGCGATGCCTCGATGGTGGCGATGGATCAAATCACAAAGAAGAGATGGAGGAGGAGGAAATTCGTCGTGTCGCTGGCGAGAGAGAAAAGAAGTAGAAGAAAAAGAAAAGAAAAGCTGTGTGTGTGTGTGTGTGTGTGAGAAAGAGTCTACTCCTCAAAGTTGTCACTTGTCTATCTATTCCAAGTCCCTGCGGCTGCACTTTGCTCGTTCATTAATTTTCCTCGCTGCTGCTACGCCCTGCGCCACACTGCTCGCCTCTGCTCCACGAATGCGACCTTGCAAACTCCCACACAAACAAAACCCTTGCTTTGCTTTGGCTTTGCCCACTCAGATGATCCTCAAATGCTCCCTCCCTGCTGCCTCCACACACACTACAGACACTCTTGAAATCTTCTCAAACGCTCCTCTTGATAACAAGTGTGAGCCGCTCTCTGTGAGTCTGTCACTCTACAAATCGAATCTACTATCCACACACGCGCTGCTGGAAAAACGAGAAAGTTTCCTCCTTTCCTCACCTCTTTAGAGCAAACCTTACAGCGAGGGGGAGAGAGAGAGAGAGAGAGAGGTGGGGGATGCGGAACGAAACAAAACAGGGGAGATTACAGTAAGTTTGTCGATCAAGCGCCGGGCGCATAAGAAAGGAAAAACAAAATGTCGATGATCCAGGGATCAGAAGGCAGGGAAAAAGAGATGACAGACAGAGAGAGATGGATGGGACTGTCACAAATCGCGCTGCCGCTGCTACTGCTGCTGCTGCTACTCTCTCCTCTCTCTCTTTTTTAAGTGAAGAAAAAAATAAGAAAGCTCTCGTTTTCGCTTGTAATTGCTTTGACTGGATGGAAGCTGATGATCGATCGAGAACTGGGCGATCGCTGTCGAGTGCGAATCGAAGACCCAGAAGGCGAAAGCCCGAGAAGACCCAGATTGTGGAAAAAAGAGACAAGGAAAAACAGAGTGAGCCAAATTGGAGACCTTCTCTCTCGCCCAGCTATATAACTATTTCGACCATAGCTATGGGACTCCCCGGTCGCCTCTGCGATTGCCACATTGGCCCCAAAATCTCGTCAATTGATTTGATCCATTCAAACAAACCCCGGATTGATCGATCGAAGGAGAACTCCTTGCAGCCCATCACTCAGGGGGGACAAAAGAAAAAATACCGGAAGAAAAAAAGAATAGAAACACTCGTGCCTGAACTGCTAATTTCTAAAGATTTCAAACAAAGGTATGGAGCGTCGATCCATCGAAATTATTGCATTGTTGAGCGACGCAGGTTTGATCTGGTCTTCCACCTCGTCCTCTTGCGCAATTCTTACGGGAATTTCAATCGAGGTTTCTATAGACCTTTTTCTTCTTTTTTCTATCGTTTTTTATGCGGCCGCTGCTGCCGCGCCCGAGAAAAAAGAGTAGAAATTTAGGCAGTTATTAAGGAGATGGGATTAGTTTAGTGGGGGTGACGAATGCTTGTCTGGGGATCGGCCGACACAACGGCATTTCCTACGGATATTCGGCCATGCATTCACTTATTTGATTAGGGCGGTGGCTACTGACGTGTAACAGTCCGCCACCTTTCTGCTTTGACAGCAGCAGTCAATTTGCAAGCTTTTATCTTTTTCTAATCAAAAAGTTCTTAAACCCTAAACCAAAAGAATGTATGTCGTGTTTGTCAAAGTGATCGATTTTGCTGCTTTTGTAAAAGGCAGTCAAATGCCCACCAATGACCACCTTTCCTATGGGCTGATAGCAGTAGTTTACAAATTTTGATCATAATATATATACAACTCGCAGATGTGATCTGCTGGTCATGTGTTTGTATGCCGTGTTGTTTATTTACCATGCGTTGGTTGTAGTAGAGGTATACATTTGTTTATGGCTCCGAGCAATTGTTTAGGGGTTCTTGTATTTACCCTACAGTGGTATCTGCGTCACGCCGTCAATCCACCCGGAAATCTTTCCACACTGGCTTGATGTTCACAAATTTTATACACTTCCACCAAGTAGCCACTACATTGCGTGCTGCTGCTCTACTCGACCGAAAGAAGCGCATAAAATATGCCCCCAAGATAGATCATAGACATGATTTCTCGGGTGGCAGAACACGCTCGATTGAACAAACACTGAGACAGCGCTTGATATAGACAAATCCAGTTCTTTTCACTTTTCCAAACGCCTCGAACAAACCACGATTGATCCTGATCAGACGCAACCCAATAGTAATGTTTCACAGCTCAAAGGTGATGGGGACATTGTCTCCCGGGGATTCATACACGCAAGAATCTATCTTTCGCTTAAGCAGCTTGACTGAGAACGGAAAAATCTAGCATGGAAACATGCCACATACAGAATAGATTTTGTACTGATCGCGGCTACTACGTAGATACCACCAGGTCAAAATATTCCCCATCTCCCCATTTAACACAATCCACCACACCACACGTTCTCCGTAAAAGGTGAAAAAATCATGGCTTCTTTGCTTGAACTCCTGTCTGTCTTAATGGAAAATCTCGCAAAAGTACACACTGAACTGAAGTTAGTGTAACTTGAGAAGTCATAATTACCGCGTTTTTTTACCTGGGGCTCTGAGAGTCTGAGACACCCCACCTATTTCCTTAACCTTAGAATAGTACTGAAGTGTCTCAAGCACGAGATTTTGCGCTGACCGTACCAAATAATAACTATGAAAAGACGTGAACTATCATCAAGAGAGTGGCTCGTCCTCTGCGTTTCTTGCGTGTTGGAAGAAGGAAAAAGAAGAAAATGAAAAGAATAAAAGGCTTTGTTACTATTTCAGATTAGCATAATTATTAGTAAAAAAGGGATCTTCTGGCCTGTTTCATGTTCAGCAGTGGCAACATCAAGCTAACTTCAGGAAACTCATTCAATCCAACAACGAAAGCAACGAATATAAATGCTTCTTCGGAGACGAATAATGCATGCAAGAGCAGGAATCTGCAAGAATCTCAGGACACTTGTTTTGTCTCGTGTCGTGGCCGCTTGGCGCTCAGATGCTCCGACTGAGAAAGAATTGCGTCAGTGCTTAAGCAAAGTCGCTACGTGATGCACTACGAATCACCGTCTCTCAGTGCGGGCATTCCAAAACCATTGGAGGATCCACTGAGTTATCAACATATCGCACGGAATCGCTCGAGGAAGGCTCCAAAACAGCAAAGGGTTTTTCTTCGACGTCCGTGTTCCTGGGGAGGACAACTACAAAAGCTTGCGAGATCTCTCTCCAGCGCGATAAAACAACCCAAGACGCAGCCCAACACCAGACGCAGTGTTTGGAAGAAGCTCGTATAGTAGCTGCCATGTTTGTCTCTGTCGCCGCAGCCGAGAATTTATAAACCCGCACTGCAGGGATGGACGAACGAACGATTCCTTCCTTGTCAAAACGACTTGAATGCTGCAGTGGCTTTGCATGGCGGCCACAAGGAAGAAAAAAACGACGCCATACGGAAAGAGCTCTCAAGAAACACTTCACACTTCAGTCGACCACCTTCAAATCAATCGGTCTTGTCTGCTCTGTCCGCTCTCTGTCGTTATTTATACATACACATATACATATTCTTTTTTCTATCTTTTTCTCTTATTATTTTGGGTTTTCTGATTTTTATCCTTTCATCCATTTTCTTTTGCAGAAACTGCCTCATTGTGCTGCACTACTGCTGCATTGGTCGGTGGAGTTACGTATGTGTCTCTTACGTACGCGCTTTTTCTTTTATAGTGTTTATTCTTGTTTTCTCTTTTCTTTAGGAATACTATGCTGATGGGATGATCTTCTCTCTGCTTCCTCTGAAGAGAGTACATGAAGAGATGTCCTCCAAGTATTTTGAATAATTATGAATGGCTTATATACCCTTTGCTAGCTGGCTGGCTCTTTGGATAGATAGTCTCTCGGTTCCGTCCAAGTGGGCAAACGAGTTTATGGCTTTTGTGCCCGTTTTCCATGAACCCATCCACAGATCGAGAAAGAGATTTGCTTCTTCTTGCAACCGATCGCAATGCCCCCCACGCTCTCGGTTTTGGGAGATCTTACGTTAATGCCACTCACGTTGCACTTAAAACCTTTCACCAACACGCTGAGAAAACTGAGGAGAAGATTGATCGTATTTTGGTTGACCCGGAAATCTTGGCATGAGTCGAGTTGGCAGTGTGTCAAGTACTAGTAGCCATAAAAAATATTGAATGCAACCCTGGTATAGCACAAACTTCCGGCATATTTAAGTGAGATTGATGTGTGGTTTGCCAAGTGAAATCTCTTTAAAGATGCTGTATTAGTGTCTCATTCAGCGGCAGAGCGGTTTTGAGAACGAGCTGCATCAGCATCTCATATAGCTTTTACCACCAGGTCTTGAAGCTGACTGCCATATGTTTGGGCTTAATCTACGAGTTTCCAAAACTTCCCCACTAACAGTGGGATGTATAGGAACTTGCTCCTGAGAAAACTGAGTTGCATTCTGTTACTAGATCATTTGGAGCAGAATATGACCCGGCGGCTGGGAGAACTAGCTTGAAATTCTGCTTTGTTTGGATGGCGTACCCTGTCACTACTACTATAGTAAATTTTCATGCTTCTGAGATGTGATGCATACGTAATAGGTTCATAAGTAATTGGTTTTGGTATTTTGGATGAAGCTTCATTATCCAACACTGGTTTGCTGAAACACCAGCAAAATAAGTAAGTTTAATTCTTCTTTTTCCCATTTTTCTTTTCTCTTTTGATTATGCGGCCACATCCAAGCCACCTTGGCCTCACATTTATACCTTCCTTGGCTGATTCTACAAATATTGATCCCACCTCAACTAGAATAGCTCGAGATTATAGTGGTTGTGGTGGTCATGGCGGTCGTGAGTATTGGAAAATAAAAAGGCACAATGCCGTAACTTTCTTGCACACTATGAGCAATCAAAATGGCATCATCAGGGGTGGTAGAGCCATTCTTGTTTGGAGGAGCGCAAACTGCAACACAATGTTATCATTGCCAGGAATGTGAGAATGGTCATCAAGATGTTGTCTCTCAAAACAACAATAGTGATGCTAAAATACTTC